TCTTTTCTTTGCTTAGTTTTTTGTACAAAAGAATGTGACACACTCACTTTCTTTGGTACATCTCTAATTAATAAATTGGGATTTCTTCGAAATGCTTGTACAACTTTTTGAGAATTTTCTTTCGACACAGGACCTGGTCCTCGACCAGCTCCTGGTTTGTGGTCAATGTTCAAACATTAGCGAACATTTTTAAGAACATTTGAAACCGTGGAATGAGCGACACCTAATAGTTTTCCTTTACAAAAAAACTCAATTACAATATATATCCATATTCAATTGAAGGAACAGTATTACTCCGCAATTTCAATTTCAAAGATCTAGGTATCCTGTTTGATGCTCAACTTATGTTTAAAGAGGATATATTTAATGCTATCAATAAGGCATTCAAAATCTACGGTTTTATATATAGAAACTGTCGAAGTTTTACCAATTTGACCATTTTGAATACCCTGTTTTGCTCATTGGTGCGACCTCACCTTGAATATGGTGCGTTGATCTGGTACCCCATCTATAGAACATATAATATGTCCATTGAAAAAGTGCAACGACGTTTTTTAAAATTTCTCGCCTTCAGAATGGACGGTGCTTATCCTGTACGTGGCATCGATTACAATATTCTCTTGAATATATTTCAGTTTTCTTCTCTAGAAACTCGAAGAATGTTAACAGTCTTGCGTTTCCTATATAAGTTAGCTCATGGTAAAATTGATTGCCCTTTTATCTTGGGTTCCCTTCGGTTTAATGTTCCTCGTCCTGGACTGCGTTATGTTCCGTTGTTCAAGCTCTCTTACAGCCGTACCAATGTAGCAGTCAAAGTTCCAGTAGCAGTATTGATGTCCACATACAACGTTCTTTGTCAAGATTGTGAGTTACACCATGACTCAATGAATTCGATCTTAAATCATGCTCGTGCCGCTTTAAGTGTTATGGAAACGTGAAACGTTCTGTTGTCTCTATTATGTATACCCTGTCATTTTATTGTGTTATTGTATTTTATATTGTATCCTTTGATCTCTGTAACTGGGTTTTTACCTGTAGAATGACCAATAAAGATTAAAGATTTCCTATTGCTCGATGTAACATTTGTTTATTTTGTAAATGGATGCGCAAAATTTCTTCACGCGCTCTTTTTTGGTTTTGCTGCATAAATTAAACTAGGAAAGAAACAACAATTATAGTTAAAGAATATAACAGCAAATACTTTGACTTCACTGACTGTCAAATTTGACATGTCGGGGCACCCTGTGAAAAAAGTTGCGGGGACTTTCGTATGTCCAAATAATTTCGAATCCACTTCTTACTTTACTATCACTTTTTCTTCACGCCATTTCTCTTCACTTTACCTTTTTTTCCAAAATCCAAGTCGAAGAGGACGCCGAATATCGCTTGCCGAACAACTCCAGAGCGCTGCAATCCATTTCCTGGGGCAGATCGCTATTGCTTCGCCTGTAACATCACTGCCATCCCACTAGCTACAAACGTCCTTGGGTCTACAACCCGCTAAGTCCTTTATCGTTCTTATCGCCTTGGAAATATCGCAAAATTTGACTTTAAAATTTAAAAATTCTGACTGTTAATTTGGTCATTTTGACTCTTCATTAAATTTAATAAATTAAAGTTAACCTGATTTAGTGGTGTAACAGAGTAATAAAAAAAGGAACATCCTAAAAGAGTGTGAGAGACTTTCAGCTAATGTAAGTTACTTGGCGCCCAAATCCTCATTTTTTTTATTTTTCTGCCCACCACCCTGTTCACCGACAACTGTCTGAGCTGCCAGTGTTACAATATCTAGATCTTTTTGTAAGTCTAGACAATGTTCATAACTGCTAATTACATTAAGAATGTAATCGCCATAGATAAAGGCCTTACATTTCAAGACTTTTACAGCGTTAAAGAATGATATAAACATCAGATAACCCTAGTTTGAGCCTTGAATTACACTAGTAACTGCTCTATAACTTATAGAATCATAAACTGTATGGTTCATTAATTTTATTTGGTATTATGTTTTCTTGTTCTCGCTGCTGCCTGTGTGTATTTTGTTAATATATTCTTCTTTGCAGCTGTTGTTTTTTATAGTTATTCTGCATTCTTGCTCTAATGATGCTGTGTTCATTCTGTGTAACATAGAACTAAAAGGTGTGTTTTGTGACTAACTGGACAATTCCCGTTATCTATAATGTTGGTTCTGTGTTTGTCGGTTTTCTGTAGATAATGGCAATAATAATTTTATTTGTGCATCACAATATCTACACAACATCGGAGATAATACAGTTATGTGTAAAATGTACGAAACAATATTCAGTACATTAATAGAAAGATTACATTTAGTTACAAAGACAGTTTGGATGTTCATAAAGTTCCAGAAAAAAAATCCTCCTCGTTATAGAAACGGTATTTTAACAGAATTTTTTGACGGTTTTCTTAAACTGATAAGTAAAGTCTTCATTGTGTGGGGTGATAAAGTTTTAAACCTATATTATGATTTGGAAATTGTTGGGCACTTCGTGTCTAGTGAAAAGGTATAAGAACGTTTCCAGTATAACCCGTTATGCAGACTAGAGTGGTAAAGCAGAAAGCTGACTTTTACTTAATGTGAAGAAGGGTGTGACAAACATAGAAACAAAGTAGAGGTAGAATTCCAAACCAAATTTTCGAAACAGACGTTGTGCAATGATTTCTAGTTTACTTTCTATGGATTATTCTAATCGTTTTCTTCTGAATTTTGAAATTTTTGTGTGCATGGCTACTTAAATCCCAGAGTACTTTTCTACTAAAGTATACTGCATTTTTCTTTTATTGAAAGTTCATTCTGAGGGTTCACTTTGTTAATTATTGTAGTATCGTTTGAAAAAACTATCTATGAAGAACTAACTGCACTTGACGGAAAATTATTTACATAAATAATAAATAGGATTCAACCCTGGGGCACCCCTTGCTTTATGGTTGTGGTCTGGAAGAGCAATTACTGAACATATATATTAATAAAATTTTACAGCTCAAGTTAAAGAACCGAGCCCGCGAAACTCTAAAAGCATAAATTATACTGGTAGGATCGGCAGAGACCATCTGCTTGGGGGCAGCACCGTACCGTATTTGTAACCAAGGAAACCTTGTCGCAACAGCTTCTCGGTAATTTCTGTAACAAATTTTGTTTGAAAAATCAGACGATATCATTATTGTATTATTTTTGATAAAACCAGTAATTCAGAAGTAACGTACACCTTTATTTGTCATAGTATTTATTTTTAGTGATCGTACTGTATCAGTGACAACCGCTAGAGTACGGTCAGTTACATAGGTTCTAAAAAGATCGAGAATTTCGTTCCTTATGCCGTAGTAGGTACCCCAGTACACACAATACTAAATTTAAATTCATCACTCTTACAACGGGAACTGCACGAAACTTTCGTTCCAAATACTCACCGCCTTGTTCCAGCAACACTTTCAAATTTAAAGAAAAAACCAACAGACGAGATGTACACATTGTGTGAAATTTTTGCCCGAATGTAGACCAGACTTATAAATGTATAGGCTTGAGTGAAACTGATCTATTGAGAACGAGGAGGTTCGTGTAGTCACGATCAAATTTCACAAGTAAATTTGTTTTGTCGAATAATTATGTACCGGCTCCTCGTTTATCTATATCCTTTACTGTGTAGTTTAAAGATTCGTTGCGACGTTAATCAGTGAATGCTCAAGTGGCAACCTCCAATGTATGGTATCCTAGAATCACGTTCCTCGGCATCAGTACACAACTCTACGCATTAAATTTGTCGTGTGTTGCTACTTACCTTATATTGCAAGGTTTATACATGCCATTGAGTCTGTCCTGAATACCTGTGGGATCCTATTTGCTGAAATATACGACTCAAAATATCCACCGTTTATTCCTTTTGTCAAAAGTTAATCCTTAAATTTCTACGATTACACAATTCTCTATTTTCGTGTCCGTAACTCTACAACTTATATATTTCCATTAATTCGACAATTATGTTACATATGCTGCAAACGTAAGTACAATTTACTGGGCGTTTCCCCACACACTGTGCCGGTGAAACAACTTTCAACAAGTTCAAACAACAAGGCCAAACCATCTAACTTAATTAGATCCGCTAGTCCTTCGCCCTACTTCGATTTAGCACATCGTAGTATAAATAAAAGACATTAAAGATCAGAAATAAAAGAGCGGACCTCGCTATAGAGAGCTGTGTGCGGTGGTTAACCGTACTTCTTTACTACGTAGTTGAACGTCGTTTGACTCCTTACATCTGTAGTGGGCGTGATAGTGACATAATGATTAGTGTGAACCTACTGAGACGTAGTTTTCAAATGTATCTCTTTTGTGCAATTCTTCCTAGATGGGGTTTCCAAAGCGACCTCGCTGGATATATTCTGATTCTCGGAATTGTAGAGAGCGGGCTGCATTTATTTTTGGTTTAATTTGAATAGTGCAGTTGAACTGGTTTTAGCCGATTACAACTTCATTTCCAATTTTTGCTCCAGTATTTTTCAAATTAATTGTTGTAACTATAGAAATGTACAAGGGTAACTAAATATAAATTTATTTGGAAAGTTTTACAACATTCACAGTTTTCTGGTCACTTTCAACGATCCGCCGTAAAAAATTTATAAAGGTCGACAGGTACGTACTGGATATGTCACGAATCGCTCCAGAAATACTACACAATCAATAGACGCTCGTTTAAAGTTTTATAGAAATGGTCTACAGTATAACTTACCTGCTAGTTTGTGGGTTTCTCATGCATCTAAGTCGAAGTTTATTTGCGAACTTTTGTTGCCGGTCTAGGCATAATTATATTCTCGTAAGGAAAATTGCTACATGTTCTGTGTATAATAGAAGTTAGGTTTAATGTGTTGACAATCTGGTGTAATTATACACTCAACATCAAACTTAATGGCGTACTTTGGTTTCATTAGAACACATTGTTCGACTTTGACGAGCGGGAGGAAAAATAACAGGGATAAAAACTTTAGAAAACAATATAAATTTTTATTAATATTAAAATGATATACAATTTAAGTATAACAATAATAATAATATTACTGCTCCTATAAAAACAAAATTGTGTCAGTTATGTTATACAGCAGACAACAACGGCTATGATTATTTTTATTCTAACAAATATACGAATAGATGGGACTATGTTACATTTAATCAAGTCCTAATTCTAGAACCCCTGCCTTTATATATTCCGAGGTAAATATTTCTACGGTGATATATCTATATTAACTAGCATTAGTCTATCGTTATGACTAAATATAACAAAATGGACGGTCAATTATTAATTAACGTAACGAAAGGTACATAATTTACTTTAATCTTTTTCAAAAATACTTAGCTAGTAAAAAATTGCAAACTATAAAAATCAGTGGCAGTATTTACATTTTGATTATTTACATAATTTTCAAACTTACTAATATAATTGCGTTAGCATAACATACTACGAAAAGTTAATAAGTTTATCACAGTCTCTCATTTTCACTAACTCCTAAGATTTTATCTTAAAAGCGATTGAGCTGGCGGTATTCACATTTTCCGTAATTTCCTATTCCTTGACAAATTATTAATTTTAAATAGGTAAAAATTATGAAGCAAATACAGTAGTAAGTTTGTATTCAATTCAATCCTTATTGCACCATCCCAACCACCAAAAGTAGATATGTACAAAATAAAAGATACAAGTTAAAGTGAAAAGAGAAGAATTGTATGTACACACAAGCATAATGAGTGATAACATCAATAACCGTAAAATAATATAAGTAGGTAATCATAAATTATGTACAAATAAACTCGATACAAACATTTAAAATTAATGAATATGTAATAATTAAGACTAGCTTACGTTGGCCAACACGAAAATACAGACAGTACGAATTTACTCTAAAATAAGTGAAGAAGCTCGATCTGTGCTAGGGTTAGTTTTGCGCAGCTTAATGGTAGCAAAGTTGTTAGACCTGAAAAAGACCCAAACCATGAGACCAAGTGCATAGAACGAGAACATGCAAATAAATTAAACAAAGAATTAGACAATAAAAGTTATTTCCTGGCGGAAGCGTCGAGGCCCCACAGATCGTACCACGGCCCGTACATGTTGCCGTTATGCGGCGACTTTTCGTCGTATTTTGCCCCATATTCCGGGTTCTTTAACCGCTTCTGCAGAGTTTCTCCGTATTCCATAAGCCCGATATCCTGCTCGTGTTTACTGCCGGAATTGTTACTGTTGGTTTTAGCCAGCTTGGTCCTTGGTATAAACTGCCTGTTTTCCACGGCATCGGACAGCTCGTCATTGGTCGAATCGTAATATTTCATTTTATCGCGTTTTTCAGATTCAGAATTTGATCGTCTGTTCGACACAATTCGGTTATCCATGTCCGAATCGATACTTTCGTAACTTGGCCTGCCCCGTTTCTCGTTTGAGTTATTGCGTTTGTTGGAATCGGCATAATATCGGCGTTTTTCCTGGGCATTAGTTTCATTATTCCTTTTATTATGATTCTGTGAGTAATATCTGTCGTTATCGGACCTATCTTTATCTCCAGTATCGGTCGGAGACTCGATCCCGAACGTTTTGAAACTGTGTCGTTTTTCCTCGTATTGAATTATGTCGTCGTTTGAATTTTCCAGGAGCATTTTCTTTTCGCTGTTGCGGAGGTTCTTCTCGGCGACGCTGTTACGAATTTGATTGTTGCCACTATTGGGTGAGAACTTACTCGACTTGGACAGTTTTTCTAATTTTTTGCCAATTTCGGCAACGTTAGGGAAGTGGTTGTCTTGCTTGTTCACGTTCTGATCGTCGACTAAAATACAGTCGTAAGGATCATCGCTTGTTATTTCAGAGTCGGAGTCGGATTCGGGACCTGACGAGTCGTTATTGTACTGTTGTAAAATATTCTTGCGGTTGACAGTTTTCATCATCAAACCGTCACCGTCATCGTCGTAGAACTGATCGTCTAGATTCTGCTTATTATTTACCTTGTGGTAACCGTAATCCCCGTTCTCCATGTCAGCGTCACGCCGAGCTTTCTCTCTGAAGCTTTTTCGCACGTTCTCCACGTTCTTCCTAATCTGTTCCTTCTCCTTTCTGTTTTCTTCTTGATTTTGATTTGCGTTAATCGTTCGATCGGAGTCGTTTGATCTGTCACGACTAGGTCTCTTTACTCGTTCTTGACTGTTAAATTTATTTCGACGTTTCATTTTATCTTCCACGTCTACGAGGTCGCGATGTCGCCACAAAGACATACCTTCTAGAATTTCGTTATCCGAACTGTTTTTGCCAAATTTCCAGAAGGATTTAGTTCTTTTAACAATGCCCCTTCTTTCTCTGGAAGCGTCCTGGTCATCCGACATGTAATATCTGTTATCAATAAGGTTCCCGTGACTGCTAGACTGTCTAATGTTGTTCTTTTTCATCGTGTTATTATTGTTGTCACTGACTGGTTGACGACGAGGTCTTCTGTGGTGATAATAATATAACAGATCAAGACAAATACTGGAGTTAAGCTAACTATACACAGCAAAACTGGATTGGCGGTTTACTTCAATTAGAGTCCATTCCCAGAGAAAAGAATTATCGTGCAATAACATCTCTACATTGAAATCAGATTGACGATTTCGATTTATCAACAAGAAATTATGTTAATTGTGAAAGATCTTACAATGCGCGCTCTTGAATATAAAACCATTGCAAAAGGTAACAATTTCCCGGATAGACAACGTATGTAAGACTTTTATTGCGCTTCTGCAAAGCACGTCACAATGACACATGTTATATTAAACCCACTATAAGAATGATGGCTTATACCACCTACGTGCAGCTGCCTTCCACGTACAATTCTTATTCCGTCAGGTACAATAACGTATCGTCTTTTATTGGATAGTTCTGATTTCAATGTTATTAAGTGAGGGACAAAGCCATAGTATCATAATCGGGCATGCATGGTGATTCAACAAAGTCGAATAAAAACTAGTTAATAGTGCATGTCTGCGGAATATCGAGAGAAATCGTTTCCATAGGATTGGACGTCCGAGTACGGTCGATAGTTGTATCTAAAACAACAAAACTGGTTTAAACTGCAGTTTTAAACAACGTATTGGTGCAATTGAAGTAAACGCCTAACACAGTAGTCGCTGTGCAGTCGCAATTCTGAAACAGTATGAGGTCTCTCGGCAAATCAGGAAACTATCGGTGTGTGCAGGGTTAAACGCTCGTTTTGTGCAAAAGTAGTTCGCCAATTGGTTCGACGTCGGAGTTGACATTTCTGATTGTGTGTAAACACAGATATATGTACTACTTAACGCGATATTGTTGTAACAGAAATTTGTTTCACAGTATATATGGCTTTTCATTAATGTATTATAGCAGATTTATATCTACCTACAAGTGCAATGAAATATAGTAGTGTTTCTCTTAAACATTTCGGTTCGAGCAAAAGAAACACAAAATTATTTCAAGGTATTTAGACAATAATTGTAAAAAATTAGTTTTCTTCGTGATAAGACAATGTTGTTACGAGAGGTACAGAGGTCACAGTTGACATAATTACCGATGATGATGACCGGTCTGTACGATCGAAACTAGTCCTAAATAAATTCTGTACAAAATAAGTGGTTCTAAACTCTTTTTACTTCCTGAGCGTAAACATGGTCGAATCCATCGGACGATTCGATACATTAATATGTTCTCGACGTTTCATGACTCTAGAGTACGAAAGAGAGTCTATCTCTCTGTCTGTTTGTCGTCTGTGTTTATTTATGTTAAACAGATAATCTCGGAAATTGCTGGACCGATTGTTGTAAAATTTTATATGTCTATTAAGAATATCGTGTAGATAGTAAAACGTTAACTAACATTTTGCTAAGCATCTCCACCAACAACAGGATGATGTCATCTCCAACATTTACGTTGGTATACTGCACTTGTGGTTTGTTTTTACCCTTGATATCGAGATTTTTGTAAAAAAATCGAAATTATATAAAAATATTTGTAATTTAACTTGTAAACTGTAAAACGGAATGGTCTGGAATCCTGCAAACATTTTAAAGTTATCGTATGCATAAACCGTTAATGAAAATTTATTCAGTTACCTCCTTCCAAAATAAATCCTATCTAAAATAATATGATGACTTCATACTTGTGGTTTATCAATGCATTTATAATTTTTATAATTACTTATGTCGCGGTACAATAACACGTTGCTAAGCGGAGAAGAGATAAGCTCCTTCGTAGTCTAGTGGTAAAGGCTCCCGCCCGGCAAGCGGTAAACGTGTGGTTCGATTCCCACCAGAAAAGCAACATTTTTCTTCGTTTACCTACACTTAGAATAATTAAATGGATGAGCCAATCTATTTTGTTTTGCTAAACAATTGATAACTTTAGACAAATGTTTTGTAGAAAACCTGAAGGTACTCGCTATGCTTGCATTCGAAGCGTTATTTTTTTAAAGTTTCGGAACAGAAGTATCCAAGAAAGAGTCTTAGTTAAGTTGTTTGGGTTCAATTGTAACAATAAATCTCTACAGTTTGAAAAAAAACACTCTTGGACTACGAGCGCAGCGAGCACGTCAAGATTTCCAAACTTTAGTAATCGCAGTTGATTTAATGATTCACTGTTTTATAGACGATAAATATACATTTTTTTTAAATAATTTAGATTCTCAGGGACAAAAGTCGCTGCGCTCGCATTTCAAGAGTGTTTTTTGCAGTTACACTCATAGTAGTGATAAAGAAAAAATTTCGGCGAAGCTGTCAACGTTTTGTTGTAATAACAAATCTTTAGGCGTATTACTTAAAAAAAAACAAACCCTTAGAATGCGAGCGCAGCGGTCACGTTCAAGATACTTGTGTCCCTCCGAATTTAATATTCATAAATATCTTCAAAATTCACTTTTTTAGACACTAAAAAATTCTCTCGTTAATAATTATTTAGCTTCCCAGGGCCACCGACACATAATTTTGAATAACATACTCGCTGCACTCGCATTCTGAATGTTCTTTTTTTTAAATAATTTAATGTCATAAAAACATTTCTGAATGAACAATAGTTATTATGATAATAATTCTGGATATTTCTCTGTAGAGGTTAATTACTTTGAAAAAGTGAATCTCTAAAATGCGAGCATAGTGTTCTAATCCCACAGGCATTCGTGATCACAAACAATTTTTATACTCGCATTTTAATAACAAGAAAATTTTTCTTAATAATTTAGCTTCCCAGGGATACCAATAAATAATTTTTTAATTACACCTAAACGTGCTCGCTGCGCTCTATTTTTAAACTTGTTTTTTTTTGCAGAGTTATTCTTACAGAACTCTGCAGGAAAGAGTCTCAGCGAAGACGTTTAAATTCCTGTAGTCTCCCCAACTTTACCAGATAATTACATACATTTTTAGGATTCACCTTTTTTATTAAAAAAATTCTTATTCATAACAGGAACACTGCCGAGTATTTTTTAATATCACCTAAACGCTCGCATTCTTATTGTTCTTTTTTAAAGTAATGCGGTGAGGAGGCTACTTAGGTTTATTTTATTAGAACAATCCTATAGATAACTTTACTGAATAATTTTTGACAAAAATTTTGACCGAAGAAATCTGATCTGACCGAACCTGACCTGACCAAATTTTTGGAATCTTACTGTTCTAACCTTTTACTTTCATAATTTTTACTATCGCACGACTTTATTTTTATTATTGTCCAGTGTCCATACATCAAAAGGAAAGTATTTTTTTAACATTAGAATGATAAGTATTGCTCAAAGATGCCTATGAAACATAAATTCAAAAATCCTTGAAAATGTTGTACCACCAAATTTTAAAAATATCCTGAAAAATATCTCAGTGAGATTACTAATTAGCTTAAAATATCCTAGAAGCTTTTCAAGAGGAGACAGTTTGCTGTAGTAGCACTTTAGTTTTTAAAAGTTTCCTGAACAAGCGGAAACTTTAAAGCGCATATAAGATAGTTAATATAAAAGCTGGGACGGAAAAATAATTTCCTGCTCCGAGAAAGCTGTTTATCCTAAAATAAATGACAAGTTTAATGAGTTACCTAACTTTTGAAGAGTCAATTTCTGCATCATCTCATGCACTCACTCGACGCTTTCTAAGACGAGATAACGTCTACAAGTAAAAATAGTTATGTTTGCTCTTTCCGGAATCTCGGTGACTCCATAAAAAAAATTGCTAAATAAAGTCTTATTGAAAAATAAGCCCTGAGGGTGACCTTGTTTCTGATTTAGTGTATTGTTTCAAATTTAATATTCCTTTATTAACTGTTTACGTAGAATGTCTGAAGAAAATTAATACTCCTACACAAAACGATTTATTTTACCGAATATCTTAGAAGCCGCTCTCCATCGCTCACCCAATACCCTGGGTTATGTTTCCGAGGCGAGGGATTTTCAGAGTAAAAAACTCAGACTTTTATCTTATTTTTATGTCTCCTTCCGAATTGCGTCGTTTTGCTTAAGATTAATTTTTTAATTTTTTTTGCAACATCGGTTCATAAAAGTCGGTGGCATGTTTTATTTAGTGAAAAATATTTTTTTCTTTTGTTATGAAAAAAAGCTGCTCTTACATCGCCTTTAATCAACAATTCTTACGTAGTCACTGTGGCAAAGGTCAGAGTTCGGTCGTGTAATACGCTATTTGGCTCTTTGGATATGGTCGATATTTTCTCGGCGAGGACAAAATTGAGTTGACGTTACCGAAACGCAAAGTAATTATTTATTAAAGAGGTTAAATTATAGAATCAACAGGCTTCTTAATAAATTTAATGTGTCGACAATTCAGCACCGAGCTGTCTCTGTAAGGTTTGTTAGGAATTGTTTTTATTTAAACAATCCACTTTTTTTCTTTCTGTGCAGCTCCATTACTCCCTTTTCTTGAAAATCTGGTAGAAGTTAAGAGGACGAAATAATCGTTAGATACTCGAAGATATTCGCTTCAGGTCCACCTCAAATCTCGAAATCTTTTAAACTAAACGTGCCTTTCAAAGCGGTATGCTTTGTTCTTTCGCACCATTAAATCGCAGAAAATTCACCTTTACCAAGTGTCAAACTAAAGTCATTTTGGGCATTTTTTTTCAATAAAGCTTTATTAGAGAAGGCAACGGGACTATGTTTCGAAGTGTTTAAAAATATAAAAGTTTTATCAGGAATCTAGTACACAACTCTTTTATATGATATACAGCAACAAGAGAAAAATAAGTGCCTTAATTTCATCCATTCTTATTTACATATCGACTGTGCGAGATTTTGTTTTACAGGTAAAAGCTTTCCTATGAGTTGAAATATATTGATACGAGGTAAAAGCCAAGTATAACGATAAGTTAAACGGCGTACTAAAATGGAGTCGAAAGTGTTATAGCGATTGGAAGTTCGAGACTATCGAGCGTGTATTGTATCATAAATTTGTTGTGTAACGTATTAACAATAATTTTTATAAAGTATGTAGAAAATACAAAGCAAAATGTTTTATAAATTTTCACCAATACTTTTAACCTAAGAACTTAGCGAAATTTTATTTACTGCCAAACTCACTTTTGAAGAACAAGAAGTGCTGCATATTTTACTATAACGTTTATCCCCACGATACCGAAAGCACACAAAATATTTGTCGACTCGTTTCGCCAACCGCGTTGGCATTATCTAGATAAAACTAAAACGTGTAGACAAACATTTTGAGCTGTCGGCGTTGTGGGGATAAAGGTTTTAGTATTTCAGATCAAGAAGATTATTCCGTATTTTTTAATACAAGTTTATTCATTTTTGACTTGCTCAAAATTCTTCTAATATGTGGATGTGTCTCATAACAAAGTAAAAATCTCAATAACTATCAACTTTAAATATAGAAAATACTTAACAAAAAAGAAAGAAAACGAAAATTAAAATAAAATGAATGCATAAAATATAGGTTGTTCTATTTGAAAAATCTGAAATATTTGAAAATTGTAATAATTAAAAATTTTTTATAAACACTCTGTATACGAAAATTTCATTTCAGTTGTGTCAGAACAAAACGTATTATAACAGAGATATTAAAAAGAACCCTACTGCGATTTTTTGGGAACCTTTCCATTGCTAAATAGTTTCAAGAAAATTTAAATAACTTGGCAACGTCGCATTTGTATTTCAAAAATAACCTATAGTTGCAAAGCCTGAGAAGAAGCCAATCCAAAGTGTGTAAAAATGTATAGGATGTTGCATTAAAAAAAGAAGTTATTAGGTACACCTTAAAAACAGAACACTCTGTATAGTTAACAATAATTTCAAAGTATAGTTCTCAAAGAACCTTTGACACTTTTAATTTGCAAAAATTAATGAGATGTTGAGTAACGCACGCTTAGTGATTTACTTTGTATATAGTTTGTTTCCAATTTTTTATTTTTCCAATTTTTTTTCTGATATGTACAATAGAAGTAAGGGTACCTAATCAATTTTTTCGGTACCAACATTTTATCAAAAATTCGAAAGAATTTGTAGTGTTGTTCTTTAGGGCAATTGTATAGTACTGCGAACATTTCAAAATAAATTGATTCAGTATATTTTCGCCAGTTCTAATTCGGTTTTATGATGTGTAAAAGTTAACTTCCTTTACAATAGATTACTACTCCCGCAAATGGGTCAGTCATAAATAAGGATTTAACCATGCCGTCACCATTATACTGTATAATGGTTAAATCCTTAAGTTAATTTTTATACAATCATAAAACCGAATTAGAACTGGGGATCTATAATTTGTGTTAGTTCTAACAAGAGATATGGATTTATGAAAAAATCTGCCTTTTCGTATTCTGAAAGCTGGAAAACGTTTACAAAATATAAAATTGGATATTTATTAAAATAACTGTACTATACAGGTGTCCCGAATAAAATTGCTCGGCTTTATATCTTGAGAACGGACAGAATTATTGAAATTCTGGAAACGACATTGTTTTTAGCTTGAAGAGGACGTTCAGTTGCAAATATGACGCATATTTGTCGACGTCTAGATCTCGACGTAAAACTATATTTCTTTTAAATTGCAAAGTATATATTTTTTAACGGGTTTTCTTAGACCATTAAATTACGTTTACAGTGATTTAAACACTTCATGTGTTGCATCGGTTTTAACTCTAAAAAATATAAATTATTTAAATGACGAAATATATTTGTAATTACCATATATTATGGAAACAGATCTGGAAACATTTAAGATTATTACCGTTAATTTTTAACGTCAGAAATTTTCAATTACCGCGATGTTTTTTTACGAAAATGATTCAATATTTTAATTCGAAAAAACATTTATTATGAAAACTGGATCGATAATCAAGACCCTATGCGATGGCCAGCTCGCAGCCCAGATTTAATTTCCTTAGGTTTTACGTTGTGGCGATATATCAGATTAAATATACTGGACAGGGGGTGTTTGATAGTTTTTAACGCGTCATACGTTATTAACAGCGAATTCATAAGAAATTTGGTGTTCACTGCGAAATGACAATTCGAATATATCCTTAGATGACTGTTTTTGAAATAGATTTTACTAATTTTTCTCAAAATACACTCGTAGTACTCTAATTCAGTCAAGATAAATTTTTGATATTTACAACTTTTATTTAAAAAAAATACAAATGAAAGAAGCTCCTAAGTATTTTACATTATTGTAATAGTAATTTAAAGGCAAAAAGATATACGTTGCAATTGAAAAAATAAACACATGCGTTATATTTGCAATGTACTATATTACGCTTAAGCTAAAGCAAATGAGGTTCACAGAATTTCAATATCCCTAACAGTTCTCAAAATATTATGCCGCGGAGGTTTACTGGGACACCTGTATATAGGATGATTTTTTCAGCCCGAAACTTTCAAATATCTCGTAAAATAAGCACTCTAAGTTTTAGCTTAAAAAGATAACCCTGTATAGAGTGAGTCGATAAAGCGCACTCCCCGATATTTCATTAATTATTACTAGAAATACAAAAAAGGTCACAGACCAAAGTTATATAGTTTTTTTCAGCATCATAAAATAGAATTATTTTCAATTATATCTACAAATGTTCGGCATCTCATTTAAATAGAACACTATATATTTTTACGCAACCTATTTCACATCTTCTTAGACTTTACAAGCATTATATTTTTAAAATTTTGAGGCGACGTTGCCAAGTTAGTGCTATTTTCTTGAAATTTTGTGACAATTCATAGAAAAAATCTATGAGTATTTTTAACGTATGTGCTATAATGTACATAGATAAAGAGAGATAAAATTACAGATAAAATTTAACGACAAAGGAACGTCATTTACGTCAAAATTTTCAGGAGAATATACAGACTATAGGTATAGACGTAGGTTTAGCCAAATTGTAATATAGTAAAAATTTAGGTTAACACCATAGTGTTATTTATGTCAATTATGTTTAGACACTTAAAATGCAGTGGCTAAAGCTTCAAAACTTTGGCAAATCAAGCGTAGGCTATTAGTGCGTATCCACTTTGTCGTTAAGTTTTGTCTGCAACTTTATGCACTTCGTTGTGATATCAATAAAGTTGGCTCCTAGTATACATAGTGTTTATCAAAAAGTAAGATTTTTCAAACAGAGTACTCTGTATTTTATGACTGCATTTTATTACAATTTTAAATGTAGAGAATATTAAAAACAAAATAAATAAATAAAAGACAAAGTAAGATACCGTAATAAAACACACAGCGTTTTATTTAAAGAAATTGAGATATATGCTATCAGTAAACGCATACTTTGTCTACTTATATAAGAATGCACCACTGATTGTTAAAAAATTTCAAGAAAATTAAAATAACTTTGACCATGTAGAAATATATAGGGTGTTCCTTTTTGTCTTAAAAATATTAGGTTATATGCTGCTTCTGAAGAACAGAACACTCTAAGCTTAAAATAATTTTAGTTGATGATGTTTATAGAACCGTGTAACTTATAGTTCATATTAGTTATTGGTTCACTGTGTATCATATATTTATATATCATTATTTAAAGTTAAAATGAAAATGTTTCTACTACATTATCTCTACTACTTTCAAACATTACGTATTTATCACATGCACACAATACAATATTTTTCGACTTCAAAAGTAGCTGAGTTGTTTATTTTGGAATTTAAGGAACTTTGTTTTAGAAAAAAATGAACGCCTTCCATTAATCAACAAAAAATAGACGATGATAGCGCAATGACGGTGACTTTCGTTTTCGCGTACTTCACTTAACTTGTCATGAAACTCAGCTTTTACTACATACCCTTCAATCAACTGACTAGAGAGCTATTGCTTGGGAAGAAATTTTGGAAATCTGCTACAATATGTTAAAATAACATATAGATCTCGACAACGAACAAATGGCTAGAAATAAAATATGAGTCAGACAACCACAAACGTGAAGATTCATTTAAATATACAAATCTAAAAATTTTCCTCATACTAATAATAAATTATGAAATACATTAAAAAAAAACTCCATCATATACGTTTTTTGTATTTTTGATATATTTTTTATTTTTTATGTATCCTTTGTATACATTTTTGCACTATATTTTTTCGTCGATTTCACGTCAAATAATATAAAACCGGCCTATATACTCTGCGATGTTTCCTACCGTCTAACCCCGACCATTTTGCCTGATTTGCCGATATTTTCCGCAAATTTCCCCGGAGCTGAGTAACCCCTCACCAAGCCATCCCGCCACGTCACAAACAAAACGAGTCCGTGCACATTACTTACCGAGCCGGCAATTTAGTTTGTCCAGGAATGGAATCGTCATCAGAATAATCAATTTCCGGTTGCGGCGGAGGGTCATTGCTGAACCCGGAATCGTTACTACTATGCAACGACACGTTTCCGACCGGACCGCCGATCTTGCCGCCCTTGCCCTGCAGATGAAGGGGCAGCGGCGCCCCCGCGGTGGGCCTGTCACCGCGGGCGGGCTGAGGGTGGGTGGAGTAGGCGCCCGTCGACGGAGTCGAGAAGTTGAATGTCGACGTCGACGACTTGATGCCTGTCTGGTAGGGCGACTGGAAGGTGGAGTTTTCTATGTTCGACTTGAAAGTGGCGCTTTGTGACTGGGGTATGCCGCTCTTCTGGTACGGAAGGGAGGGGGTGGGCACGGGGGCCGGCAGTGCTGGGGGTGGGATATTGTTAGAACCGATCGCTCGCCGAATCTGAAAAAAAGTAACATATGGTTAGCTTAAAGGTTTTTTTAAATCTATTCATTAGTACGAGATCAGTGATCAGACATATGATCTGTTCCAACAGGAATTTGACAGTTTAAAGCAGGAACAAATCGTGTCTATGTAATATTTTTAGCACGTTCCGAGATCAGAATAGGCTTCGGATTTGCATCTCTTTGAAGACAGATAGCTCGTTTTACACCAAATGTTATAAATTATAACGTTTTGACCCGTGAGACTTGATGTCATAAAGCTCAAGGTTCGACTACTTGCAAACGGCATCAAACTGGACAATGTTTTCATCTACATCCCACTGGGGCACAAGCGTTATCTCTGCCTTGTGTGTTGTACAGATTTTTAAAATTAAATCAGTAGACCTAAAATAAGCAAGATTTATTATTACTGGCAATAATAGTCAATTGTAATCGAAATAAACGTTGGCCGTAGAATTGCTCTTCTTTGAACTTATTTTATTTTCTTAACTTTTTTCGTGTTAACAAGGCAAAAATATCACATAATAAGTATTTCAAAATCTATATGAAAGTGTTGGCAGAATTTCTATTTTCTGTATTTTTGTTCACGTTTTACGGCTTATACTAATACCAAAAGGTTTGTTTTCCGTTCCAGTCTGCCTGTCTGTCTGTCTGTTGACCGATTGAATTTTCAGTATACTTTAAACTTATCCTGGGGATATTCAAACGCTAACCAAAGTTTAGGTGTCACCTCCACTAATAATACATATATAATAATGATGACGTCATCCCAAAATTTTGCTAGGTAAATCTTATTTAAATTTTGAAAATTAATATGTTTCAATTCTTATGGTTATTTAATTCGCTCTTATTTCTTACATTAGACATCTAGATTTTTGGGAAAAAATTGCTTTCAAATGGAAATTTGATAATTTTCTTAAAAATATTTGTGTTGTATTGTGGATTTTCACACTGTACACGCAAATGTTTGAAAATAGTGTAATAAAATTTTGCGATATGTTTTTTATAAAAGTATTTCTTCAAAGCAATCTGTTTACGTAAATTTAATTTTAGGTTTTCTCCAGGTTTCACGAAGATGTCGGTCTTCGGTTTTTGTGTGTCTGTCAACTGTTTACTGTTCTTGGTAATTTTATTGGAATGTTTCTAAAATCACGAATTATTTTGAAAATTTAGGTGCACTTTAAGATTATAATGTAGACAGTAGAATTTTGTGTACACATTTTCGCCAAAAAATTGATGACGTCATTAAAATTCTGTTGAGTAAATCGCGCCAAATTTATGGAGACATGTTCAAACTAGCAGGTACAAGCTAGGGTAAAACTTAAAAAAAAGTTAAAATCATCTTTGAATCTGCGTAACAAATTTATATTAGATGCAATGAATACAGAACTTTGACTAAAATCAAATTCGAATAAAATAAATTAAAAAATAATAATTTAATTAAAAATGTTTATCTACGTTGAACAATGTCAAAAAACGTGGTTGTACTGTGGTTAATCTAATTTCGTATTTTAAAATTACCAATAGGACATGTGTCAAAAAAAAAATTCTTGTATTTGAAAACAAAAATAATGCTTGTTTTTGTTCAATGCCACTAATGTTTTAAATTAGTGGTTTCCAGTTTCTTGTTGAGAAAAGAGACTACACATATAAAGAAAAAATAACGCCAAAATGTAAGCCCCACCCACCCGCCCCCATCTCAATTGGGATGAATTTTTCATCAGTTGTCACACCGAGGGGAGGAGTTTAATTGCAAAATCCATATTTCCCTACAAAGATTTACTATTTCGGACACGTTTTAAGTTTTTTGTTGTGAAAAGAAATTTACGTATATTAAAAAACAGTCAAAACTAGTGGCAGAGAGGAAACACAAGACGACTATTTTACTTAAATTCTTGTATTTGAAAATAAAAATAATGCTTGTTTTTGTTCAATACCACTAATAATTTGATGAGATCATCACAAAATTTTGCTAAGTAAATTTAAATTTTGTAAATTAATATTTTTCAGACTTTACGGTTATTTAAATTGGCTCTTATAATTTTCATCAGAAAAATTCGAAGCTTTTAATTGAAAGTTTGAAAAATTATCTTGGAAAATGAAACCGTCTTACATGAAATATTGTAAACATCTTGAAATTATTCATGTTAAAACATTTGTGAATATTTTTGCGTTTATCCCTCCATAAGGTTGATGACGTCAAGTTAAAATTGTATTAGATAAATCCTATCCAAAATTTTTGAGAAAAAACAAAGAGTGCAACAAAATGTGATAGTTTAAGTTAAAAACCACTAAACCAATTCCTCTGGGATTTAGCACATCCCCAACAAAATTTTGATGACGTTATTAAAAAAATTTGGAAAAGTTTGCTTAGTAAATTCTATATAAATTGCCCCTGTTCATACGTGTGGTTTATTAATTCAACCATATTTTTTGTATAAAATTTTCACATCAAAGACTAAGATTAATTATGTACGAGTAGGTAGTATAAAACTGCTAAATATTTTTTTAAAACAGACCAAGCTCATTCAGCCCTTAAAATAGTACTTCTTTTAACCCTTTGCCAGTTGTACCTTCAACTAAAAAAAAATGTTTAAACGTTTTTCAATTTTAGGATTTTGTCTAATGCCAATGATTGAAAGTTGTTCTATTATTCTCTGACTTTATGTTTTTTATTATAATATCTCTTTTTCTTTATGGCAAAAGATTGTTCTCATTTCCATTATGATGATTTTTTTGTTCGTTGTGTGCCGAAGGGCGGAGCTTAATTGCAAAATCTTCATTTCTATACAAGAAATTACTATGTGAAACATGTTTTTAAGTATCGTATTATTCAAAAAAAAACTATTTTTAATATCAAGAGAAAAAAGTCAAATTAACCACAACGAACCCGTCCCGATCCCAGTTGTGATAAACGTTTCCTTCGTAATCAGACCAAGGGATGGAGCTTAATTACCAATTCTATTCTCTCTATAAAAATGTACTATTTTAAATATGCTTTCAGTTTCTTATGGGGAAAAGAGAACTACGTATAATAAGAAGAAAAAAGTAAAACATCAGCCCCGCCCACCCACCCCACCTCAAGTGTGATGATTTTTTTATTCGTCGTGAGCCGGAGGGCGGAGCTTAAATGCAAAATCTTCATTTCTCTACAAAATTTACCGTGTTGTTCAAAGTGAACTATTTATAAATATTTAGAAAAGAAAGTCGAAGATTGAGTCCCACCCATCCGCCCCAATTTCAAACTGAGATGAATTTTTCATTCGTTGTTAGACCGGGGGGCGGACCCTAACTGCAAAATTTATATTTCTCTACAAAAATTTATTTTAAACATTTTTCAGTTTCTCGTTGGTAAAAGAGACTACGCATATTAAGAAAAAAAAGCCAAAATTAAGCCCCGCCCGCCCGCCCCTATCTCAATTGTGATGAATTTTTCATTAGTTGTCACACCAAGGGGCGGAATTTAACTGCAAAATCCATTTCTCTACAAAGATTTACCATTTTGGACATGTTTTAAGTTTCTTGAAAAGAAGACTACGTATCATAAGAAGAAAAAGCAAAACATAAACCCCGCCCACCCGCCCCCATCGCAATTGTGATAATTTTTTTTATACGCCGCGAACCAGGGGGCGGGGTTCTTTGCAAAATATTTATTTTTCTACAAGAAATTACTATTTGAAACATGTTCTTAAGTAATTGTGTTCAAAGAAAACTATATGTGTATTGAGTAAAAAAGAAAGCCAAATAATGAACCCCACCTATACGCGTCTCGATCTCAATTGTGATACATTTTTCATTAGCTTTTGGACCGAGGGGCGGAGCTTAATTACAAAATCCATATTTCTAAACATGTTTTCATTTTCTTTTCGAAACGTATAACAAAAAGAAAAAACAAAATATAAATAAATCTCAATTGTGATCAATTTTTCATTCGTTGTCAGACTGAAGGGTGAAGCTTAATTGCAAAGTTCTTTCTCTACAAGAGTTTATTTTAAACATGTTTCCAGTTTCTTGTTGGGAAAAGAGACTACACATATAAAGAAAAAATAAAGCCAAAATGTAAGCCCCACCCACCCGCCCCCATCTCAATTGTGATGAATTTTTCATTAGTTGTTACACCGAGGGGCGGAGTTTAATTGCAAAATCTATATTTTCCTACAAAGATTTACCATTTTGGACATGTTTTAGGTTTCTTGTTGTGAAAAGAAATTTACGTACATTAAGAACAAAAAAGTCAAAACTACTTGCAGAGAAAAAAACAAAACGACTGTTTTACTGGTCAAATTAAAAATCGTTTAAGTAATTTAGTGAAACTCCTATAATTTGAAACACAAATAGAGCTGGATTTTTAAACCAAAACCGAAAAAATTCGCAATTGTAGCTATTGAATTATTTCCTTGCCCAGAGAAAACCACAGAAAATATTTTATGAAAATTATATTCAGAAATGTTTACTTTGGCCTTTCACATCTTAACTAAGAATACAAACATGCGGAATTCCCGTTTTTGTTTGCCTATCTGTCGGAATTTTTTGTATAAGTTAGTAATCTCCGAAACTATGGCACCGACTACTCTGAAATTTTAACTGTACTTTAAGATTGCAATGAAGATGATAAAAAGCAACATAAAATTTATCTCTTCGTGCCCTCTCAAAAAATTACGAAAACATTTCAAAGTTTTGTTAAGTAAATCTTCATAAGATGCCTGTGGTTTTAGTAAAATATCCCAGAAAATAAACACATTTGATGCCATTAAAAAGTTAATGTGTCAGAAAATACAAAATAAATTTTTATAAAATTCGAAGGGACTCAGTCGTCAGACTAAAAACGAGTGCCCAAATATGACGAAATTTGTTGAACTTAATAAAATGTCAGTACGTATGTACATATTTTGTCTTATTTGATTCCACAATAGGAAAAATATTTTTGTGTATTATTCGTTCCTCTATTTTCCATCCATCAGACGAAAACGCGTTAGACGCTTAAAAGAGAAATAAGCTTGGATTATTATTAAATATGTATGAATTGAGTAAAAACAACTAACGTCTGTTTGAAATTATCTTTTTGTTAAAAATTGGGTGCAGTTATCCCGTTTCGTTAAAAATTTAACATAATATATCTCGCTGGCATCTGGGAGCGGCTAACAATAGCCACTTGCCTTTATCCATCTAATCCGTTAATTAGCGACAACCTAACATCATTTTTACCGCACGACTTGTGCCCATTATCGCGCGACAAATTTTCTCCTTTCTAGTCGAAGTCAAAAGCTCAAGTGACTGAAAAGCATGATTGCAATTGGCAGACGATCTCCAGCAGGTGCACGATGCGAGCTGAATAAATCTAGAACTATGTTGGTATGCGACTCTGGCGCTACTCTACCTGTTTAGCGTTATTGGAGGATCTATGCAAATGCAGGGTGTCTCCGAACATACGAGGGGTTGGAGCTTCTAGCGTCGAGTTGTTACCGGAAGGAGTTGCTGATCCCCCCGGTGACATCACGTTGTTGCCGTTCGTGGGGGTTTGCTGGGGTTGATGAACAGAGCCACCTGCATCGCTACGGTGTGCCGGCGATCTGTAAACAAAGGGGTTGTTACGCACACGATCATTCATCTTTTATCAGCGGGAATCCGACTTTACGTAAGAGAAATACTTATTTATGTACCAGGGGTTGTAAACGGTGTTTTTGTCGGGCACGAATTCACGCACCACCAAAATTTGGCAAATGCAGCTACTTATACTTATAAGTATCGAATGTCACTAGCTAAATATATTCTCCACAGCAGTGTATTTTTTTGCACAAACCATTTTTCTCCAGTCTGCGGGCAAAACATTTGCGAAAATGTGAGTCATTAGCGAGTTTTAAATTAATGGTGCATCTAAATTTCGTTTCATTTATCTCAGCTTATTTTTAGTAAATATGCAGACAGAGTTTCCAGTTAGTGTGGTGTTTAGCAATTTATCATGTAGTTATTACCGAGTGAATTAAAGTGAAGATCCTTTACAAAATAAAAGTGGTAGCAGTTCTTTGTCCTATAAAAATAAAGGAAAATGCATAATGCGCACTATAAATATCTTCAAATGTATAGGAATCTTATTTAGTTTCAAGTTTACGACTTCAGGTCTTGTTATAGCGCTTTGGCCACACACCACGAATTTGGTCAGAGTGGTGTTTGATGTAAAACGACGCTTTTTGTTTTTAGTAGATTCCACGTTTGTGCTTTCTTGTAATGAGGCAAATAATACTACTATTACTAACGAAAGCTTCAAAAATTAACAGCAAAACTTAAATTGCATTTCTGAACTCTACTGTAAATATGATTAATTAAATTTGTGCTTGTAGGATATCACTGAACACATGAAATAATTTAGTTCGTGAATTAACAATCGTTCAGATCATTATTTTATATCATATTTCAAAGCTGCCAAAGATAACAATTGCGAAAAATTTGTGAATACTGTAATGTGATATTTGTTTCAATATCTCTTTTAATAAAATTAAAATGACGAGCAAATGATGTTAATTAATTAAATCAAACAAAATGTGTGGTTATTGTCCTCGCTTTTTGAACTGTTTGAAGGTGTGTTTTGTCATTATTTTTTTTACTAGACGAACTAGACCAGGTGTTTTTAATAATTTTTGTTTTTAATTAAATTTGTTTTGTGGTGCAAAATTTACATACCGGTAGATTGTTAATAAAATTGTGATTGCTGAAATTAATTTATCGCCATACACAAATAAACAAATAAATAAAACTAGAACACACAGCGCAACACTACTGGTGTAATGGTTCGAGTAGTTTTCACGTTTTTATATAAAAATACCACAGCAACATTGTTGGACAAATTCGAATGTAAAATTTAATTTAATTGAAAATCTCGTTGCATAACTTAATATACAAATCCACAAATCCATTTAAGCCCTTTTCAAAATAATAACCTCTTCAAAAAATAGTTATTTATGTATTAAGGGCATAATCAGGGAGATTGTGGCACGAGGGAATGTTTAAAGCCCGACGAAGGAGGGCTTTTAATTTCCTGAGTGCCACAATCGACAATTATGCACGTGGTACATACAACGTTTTATTCTATTTTAGTTTATAAACTATTTTTAACGAAATATTGAGTATTTTCGGCAAGACTGTGTGAATTGTGCCGATGCGAATTTTAATACATAGCTGGCTATTATTTTGATGTTGTTATGGATACCACGTTGATTATTTGATAATTCGTTTTTCAAAATGTAAATTAAAGAAGCGGAAAACGTTTATTCAAACGAAAGTTTAGAAGAATTTGAAGTCGGTCAGGTAATGATTTGATAAAATATTGTTTTTCCAACTTAAGAAAAACGTTGAATATCGAAGCGTGTTTGAATAATTAATTGATTAGAGTAAATGAACAATCAATTGTTGCTTAGCAATTTTTGACAGATTTGTGCTAAAAAGGCCAATTTAAGCCCGCATTTGGGTGCTTATAAATAAGATTATGGTTCTAAAATAGAATAAAATAATAAATACATGAGGCTGAGATCAAATATTTCCATATATTTATATAGATTTTTGTTCAGTTCATTTCCAATTTTAGTAGCAGATTTACAACAATTTTACACATTACTTGAAAGAAATGAAAGAAATATAAATCAGCTGAAATATGTACATATACAGGGTGAGTCACTAAGCATGCGTTCATCTCCTTAATGATTAAAAATAGAAAAAAAGTTGTACTGTTTTTAAGTACCATACACTGAAATCAGATAGAATAGAATACGCGACATATTTTTACCTATTTTGATTGACCTCTTCTTAGGCTTTGTAACCACAGTTTATTTTTTAAATTCCCATGAGACGTTGCCAGATTATTCCAATTTTCTTAAAAATTTTTAGTAATGGAAGGGTTATTTTTTAAGTTAGTCTAACAATATTTTGTGGAGAAATAAATGCGCGCTTTGGTGTGGTATAAATAAAATTGTATTTTAACATCCAGAATGTTCATAAAAAAATCTTAATTTTTACAGTTTTCACATATGATATTTTTTTTTTTTCGGATAGAAGGCTCTGTATCGTATTCTGTTTTTGTATAACTGAAAATTATTTTAATAATTTGCAATTTTTTTCAATACAGGGTGATTAAAAAATGGCGCAATAACTCAACGCTACATTTTTAAGTTCGGGACAAATCATTATTAAAAGATTCCTTACTTCAATTTGATGTTCACTTGAAAAACAAAATATCGATTTAGATTTCTTTATTAAATAAAAAAGGTAAAAAATTAGCCACTGTTATCTTTTAAACAATTTTTAAGTTCTTTGTATTGTAAAATGAAGGAAGGAAAACCATGAATAAAGACATGACATCATGTGCCGAACACTACGTAATGAATTAAAACATAGTCGAATATCTGAAATAGAATTTGAACTTCGAAAGCCTGTGTCTTCTCCATCTGGGCCCTGAGATTTTTTAAATTATTTTTGATTTGTATAATGAACAGTCTTTAATGACATATCATAAAGTTAGTGCGCCATTTTTGAATCACCCTGTATATAAACGTTCCACTTCAAGTGTGTTCTTTTAAAAAGGAAAGCAAAGTATATTTTTATAGATTAAGTGTCGTTATTAAAAAAGGAAAAAAAAGCCAGATACAAGGGTCTTTTGATCATATATTTTCGAGGTAGCTGCAGTTCTTGCTTGGAATACGATCTATAACATATATTTTTTTATTGGTCATAGATGTTATTTTTGAGTTTTTTTTTTAATTTTAGACTCTCAATTAAATTCTTCAATTTTGACGATTAATATTTTAAAAAATTTGGTTCGGAGAATTTTTAACAATTTTTTTTCGAGTTCCTCAGAGCTTTCTTAACAACGTACCATCGAGCTTTTCGCTCATTTTTGGATCACCCTGCATATATATACGTTTTAAAAAATCGAACAAGAATTGAAGTTATTTTATATAGAGTAATTCAACTGGAACACACTATATTTTTTTAAGCTTATAAATTTATTTGTAATTAAACTTGCGTCGGGGTTTAACCTACTGTTTATTCAAATATTAAAAAACCACCTCTTGAATTAAGTTGGTAGCAAATAAAAGGCCTATAGGGCTTATTTTTACCCTGGCAAGTTGGTACTACAAAAAACTTCAAATATGAAATTTCATGACAAAAATGTCAAAATAAAATAAACAGAAATAAGATGAATAAAAAGCATCCTAACCTCATTTTTTTTTACAGCACTTCTTGACACCTAACCTAAAATGTCCCTAGACAATGTTGTGGGTTGAATTTTCGTACGATCTTGCCAGTTGAATGGTGTTTTAATTTTTGAACAAATAATGACAGTAATTAAAAAAAACTATCAGGATAAATCAAAACAAAATTGGCACAAAAAAAACTTGTTTAGAGATAAGCTCAAATAAATTACAGGCCTATTTGAATACGAAAAAAGGTAAAATTTGCAAATTGAATCAACCTGTATTTAAGCATGTTGAAACACTGTTCAATTTTTATGCGTTATACAAGGTAACGAAAAACTTGCTTGTGGAAAAATTTTTACAGATCGCAGAAATGAGAATTTTTGAACAATGAAAATGAAAATGTTGAAAACTATATAATATTTTTCTAGAGTAGCTCTAACTCTGTAGAAATATATAGGGTGTTACGTTTTCAAAAAATAACAAAGTAAATAACGTTTTTTTTTTTAGTTTTTCAATCAAATTGATCTCACATACGATACGGAAAACAACATAAACTGAACTCTAGAAAAATGTTAAAAATTTTGAATATGTACACGTGAAAAAATTAGAAAAATTTAGATTTTATGTTTTTTAGGTTGGAAAAAATTGTCACGATCGGTAGATCCTTATTGATTTATTATTTACAATCTCAGCAATTTCATTCTACCGATCATATTTAGACAATCGTGGGTTGAATGGTCAAAGCTCTGCCGAAAAGCTTGACCATAAAATCACAATTAAACTGCTAAAAACTCACTATGGTCAGAGACCCTTTTGTACAGCAGTAACCTCCAAAGTACCAAAAATCATGTATAATCTGATGAGATACACATAATGCATTTTCCATAGAGAAAAACTTTTTAAATATTTTTGAAAAACCTAAACCTATATACCTAAGTAAATAGAAACGGCGACTTTTAAGTTGTAGTTTTCCTTTGATAAAAGATACCTTATATTTATTCGATAATGTCACATTATTATTTATTAAATAATATGTAGTGTAGATACTCCGAGTTTCATTAGTGGTGTCAAGTTCGTGTGAAATATCGTGTTTGTATGCAAGCAAAAAGCGACAATAGAATAAGTAGACTAATAAATATTTAGATTGACTATTGTAGTTTTCCTGGAAAATGCAGAAAAAAGAGTTCATTCTTGTTCAATGCATTGCCACTTTCCATTTAGATTAGAGAAACAGAAAGTAGCTGATAGTTCAGTCACATTTAATGGATTTTTATCTAACTGACGACGAAATTTGCATAGAGAGAAACACGAACTTGAAACTTGATTAACAGATGCGACAAGTTCCAACATTATTTGTCTTTAGTTAACAATTATTTGAATTCAGTAAACTACATCTAATTAATTACTCCGCTCAAAATAATATAGTTACATTCGGTTTCAAATCTACGAAGAAATCTCTTAAAAATGATTGTCGACAATACTCAGCAACCATAAGACTATTAAAAATTCTCTGTATGACTGCTAACTGTATAAAATTTCGTTATGTTTCAACCGAAACCGAAGGCATGAATAATTCGCGTGTAAATTCCCCACTTTTCCCGGTGTAATTATGCAAGGCAATTAACAAGATATTCAGATATCGGATCTACTCACGAAGCAGGATCATCCAGAAGTTCCGTGTAAGCTAATGGGAACCATCCACTGCATTGTGTCCTCAAGTTCTCTCCAAATTGCCAGCCCTTATTCCGCTCTCCTATCAGCGCAATGAGATCTCCTTCAAGAAAACTGAGTTGATTATCTCCACTTGATAAGTAGGCATAAAGTGCCCTAGCTAGCTGAGTATCCCACTGAGGTGGCGGAGGGACAGCCATCGATTTGGGCCTCCGACTCGGAGTGTGGCCGTCTGCAAGAAGATAAATTCACTCGAACGTTCCCGGCATTAACTCTACTCACCTTGAGCGAGCGAATGCGTCGAAGAATTTAAATTATACTCCGATTTGGCCCTCGATAACGTCGTCACCGGCGACCCCACGTCCCCGATGGACCGTATATCCAAGCACGAGGCGTCCATGCTCTTGGTCTTCCTTAATTGGGAGCTAATACTAATTCTGTCATCTTCGAAATTCGGGCTCCTCGGATTCGAGTAGACGTCCTCGTCTTGCCAGACTGATATTTGCTGGAAACTTTCCCAATCAACTTGGTATTGTAACGGTTATGAAAGTGATTACCCTTAGTCTGTTTGTGAAAATATTCTCGACGGATTCCGGCAGATATTCCCTTGTTTTGGCAACTTCCGACCATTTCTCCAGATTTTGTTGGTATGCAGCCAGTCCTTGATTATGATAAGATAAATAATGTTTAGCGAGAGAGCATTGCCTTTCAAGAACGAATCCGTATCTTCTACGTTCTTGGGTCATTGCCTGAAATATTTCGGAGATGCCAATATCAATATCATTTGAATTCGATACGAACTTACGTTCTTAAGACTTTGTTCGCAGAAGGCGTCGAGCTTGGTTTTCTCCTCTTCCAACACTTGCATGTTCTGGAACAAAATCAAAACAATTGCCGATTTGGATTCGAATTCCCACTTATAGGGATGTCGGACACCTGCTCAGTTCATTTGAGTTTGGATTGCCAAAGAACAATACCAGCACGACACAAACACAATAAATTAAATCAATTCCTACGACCCAATTCGAATACAGTTGAAAATCTATTTAAACAAAAATACACACTCATTTTAATTTTTTACTGCCAGTCTAACCGTAAACATCATAATATTGTCTCTTTACCTACTGTACTACATTCTTTTGGATTAAATTTCCTAAGTTAGTTATCACAGTAATTATCTATTCATTTTTACAATTTATTTGATGTGTGTTTTTTCATGAAAATTAAATATCGTATGTCCGGTTAATTAACAAGTGATAAGATCTGTCTACTTGGCTCTAAAAAACCCTATAGAATACACTAGTCGTTGCTTTCCTAGATCTTCAACCAAAGTTCAATCACAAAGCGTCAAAATAAACACTGTGACTTGCTAGCATTGTTCTTAACCGGAACCATTGGAATTTAATTTTTATCTCAATTACAGCCCGCAGTGAATTTTGACGTCCCACATTGATCTAGCTTGATCAAATATTAACTCGGGTTAAGTTCTCTCCGACCACAACTTTCGAGCCGACGCCTGTAATTAAGTGGGATCTCTTATTTTATTAACCGATAACACTAACCTTTAGCTCTTTATCCATAGCCAGTCCCGTTTTTTGCGAAGTTCTGGACTTCTTCCGCTGCTTTTTCATCATGGCTGCGGCCTTGCTGTAAGTTTCCGACCTCTGCTTGTGCTGCTGCAGAAATCGCTTCTGTTCGGACTGAAACAGGCAGGTTTTAATTTGGAGCTTTCGCAGCCATCGACGACTACTTAAACTTGGCATTCGAGTGAATGTAAATTGGAAACAAGCTTATAAGTCTGCGGTTCGGTAATGGAATAATTTGTTTTAATTACCTGCACAACTTTGGTATCCTTTTCCAAATTGGTCTCGAGCGGGACGAGCAAGTCGACGTAAAATGCTTTAAGCTGAAAAATTTCAGAAACGGAATCAGTGGGGAATACAGCGCGTATTTGTGTAATTAATACTAATGTAATCGAATATTCATTTCCTGTTTAACGAAAAGCAAATATTAATTAGTAGCGATTACACGAAAGTTTGCGTAACATCGAAATTAAAGCGTATTCGTTTATTAATCAAATAGCGTTAGGGTGTTTCTCATCAAAAACATCCACTTAGGAGCGGAACTTCCAGAAAAATTGGGGCGGGGAGCAAAAAAAGGGCAAAAAACACAATTTTTCGTTTGAGGGAATTTATTTTCGTCGAGTACACACTTGCACGAGTAAAGTTTGTAAATCGTTAAAAATATGATGTTTTGTGAAAAAAATACGAATTAAAAGCTCGACATAATGAAATATAAGTTAAAAAAAATTGGTCTACATAAATGTGCCATTAAAACTCAACTGGCCGATACGAGAAAAAATCAGGGAATAATATCTAGTTTTGTCAAAAATTAAAACAGCTTTTGTTCTAAAAATTATAACAAAAAAATGTAGTAAATCATAATACTCTGGTTCTCAAGAAATCAAAAGATCAGTCTCGATGTTCCTTTTTTTTTTGGTAGATCCTGCCTGATATGTGTAACTTAATTTCCACACAAGCTGTAGAAATTTAGTCGAACAAACGAAATATAAATCAACATATTCACAAAAACTTGTTTGTGTATCATAAAAACACAATATTTCGCTTGGAAAATAAGCTTATTCAAATGCTTCCATTTTTTTGTACATTGTGAAGGATCTTATTTGCAACAAATTTCTATCTCCAAACATTGAGCTTCTTGGAAAATTTTAATAATTAATTTTACTTCAGAAGTAAACGCAAAACATCGTTATTGTTGAAAGTCTGAGTGGTTTGGACGTATTAGTGGTAATAGAAACAAGAATGTTTGACAATGTCATAAATATTTAATGATGTTGTTAAAAAAAAAGGAAAAAAACGCCGCCAGAGCTTGGCAGGATGGTGGTTGTTAAGCGGCTTTTACTGAGAATTCTTACACAGGAATCACTACAATTAATGATTTTTTTTGTTTTTATCGCTTTTAGTCGTTAATTTTAAATAATTGGAAATTATATATTAATTATTATTAGTTGCTTCCTAACTGGGTATTTGTTACAATTTCACAATAGTATATTAAAGAACGAGTTTCATAAGGCAAATAGGGTAAAGTCAGGAGAGTTGGACCAGTGGGAGAGACGGTCCATTAGCAATAACTCTGAACCTATTGGAACAATTTAAATTTCCCGCGAACTACAGTTGCATTTATCTGCATTCATGTCAGGACATGTGAAAATACTTTTGTTTCAATTAAATGTTTTGCGTTATTCAACATTAAAATTTTCTTGCGGGCCTGAAATTTCAGCCGCTTACTTTGCGATAACGTTTGTTGGAAGTCTGGTAAGTTTGCATATAAAAGTTATAGACAGTACAATTAATGGAAGCTTTGTCTTTGATTTTAACCTCACTTTACGTGATTTTATCATCTAGTTGTGCCGCAGTGTAGTGGTCCATCTGTCCTAACATAAAAGGATAGATGGTCCAACGGTGTGACAGACAGATGGACCTATGTTCCATTTTTTAGAAAATGCCAAGTAATTACACACGAAAAACCAACGCAAGGTAGATTTGTATTGCATCTCTATGGCTATTAATTTTTAGGTCTAGCGGGAAAAATATGGTTGGCTTCTTTTTTGGATTTAATAATGTGTACTATGCAAAAGATGGTTACACAAGAGATGTACGAGCTATGAGGCCCTTTGTCAAACCTATGGAAACACTATTAACAAAAGAAAAAGTAAAAATTTGGTGGTTTATCTATCTTACCTAAAATGGTCCGACTGTCCTACCCTTGACAGGATAGTTGGACCGTTGCAAGCGTTTACCATTTTTTTTTTGATGGATTATCATATTGTGTTGGAACAAAAAAAATACTTGTACCTTAAAGAATAAATGTTCAGCTATGTTCTTGTAAATTTTATATTTTTTTAAGTTGTTAAATAAAGGAATTATATTGAGTTTTTTAAAAGGTGGTCCAACTCTCCCGACTTTACCCTATTGAGGCACGAATCCAAGTTTATAGAACGAGCGGCGAAGCCGCGAGTTATATAAAGGATGAGTGCCTCAATGGCCTTATGAACGAGTTATTTATACTATTTTTTCTACCGCACACGTTTTTTCCCAAAATTTAATTGAAATTTGCATTTTTTTTAATCTGGGGACTTTTGTCGTGGTTGGTGATGGGTCGGTCTGACACTAACCACGAAATATTTGAGGTTCGAATTTTCACAACAACAATTGTAATTCGAACCAATTCGAGTTTTTGTAATTTGAAATTGGTTAAAATGTCTTGCGAAGAAGTTACGCGTCCGGAAACATGGGAAATTTTAAGTTTAGATTTGCCACTGACATTCACCTGACATTTCTCGTCATTGCTACCAATCTTACCGATCTAAATTACACCAGATCTATTAAAGAACGCCTTTCCGCTATTAACGAACTGCTGTGACGTCATTTGCGTGCGTTAATAGCTCTATTAGAAAACCAAAAAACGTGGGCGGTAGAAAAACACACTTTAAGATTTCTCTCACTTACCATAATATTGTTTGGGTTAAATTTGAAGACTTTTTGGATTAATTTTTATTTTACTTCCCGAGTACTCGCCAAAATTGAACTAAACAGACCCACCAACGTCCCCTCAAAATGTTTCATAGTACGTAGACTTTAAATTTTATATAATAATATACTCCTGTATTTGTGGTTTATGAATCCGCCTTGATATCTTCCCTGAGGAATCCAATTTTTCGGAAAAACTTAAAATCGTATAACCACCTTTTATATTAATATAAGGGGAGCTCACACAAGGATATTTGATAGCTCATCGCTTATAATGGGCGACTTCGATTCTCTCATGGGTTTTTTCGTCTCTTACACTGTAACTGTTATTATCTATATTTTTTTAATGTACAGAGATTATTATATATAAAAATTGCTTATTTTACGTGGAAGAATTATTCAGTTCATGCTGATGAGGTTTTTTTCTTCTAGTTGAGTTATTGTTGCTTTACGTCTTTTGTGTATTCCTTTTACCTTGTTGTTATGTCCCGTTGTAAAATTTCTGTTGAGTTTCTCGAAATTTTGAGTTTGGTATTTTCTTGTTTTAAAATATCTCTGTCAAGAATTACTATAAAGTTTTCTTTGTCTATTTTTCCTATGGTTGGATTACGAGTGGTTAGAGTCTTAAAAAATAGGACTTCCGTTTCCGTCTGTCTGTCTGTCTCGATTTTTATTAGACAAGTAATCTCCGAGACTACCGGACCGATTTTCGTCAAATTTTATATTTATGTTGGGAATATCATGTAGATGGTAAACATCAATCAAAATTTGTGTCATCATCCCCACCAGTAACTTGATGACGTCACATCAAAATTTTATTTGGTAAATACTATTTAAATTTTATAAAATAACATACTCCACCTTGCTTTTTACCCTACTTATTATAACCAATAAAAGAGTTCGAGAGGAAGAGATCTTAGTCCACTACATTTTATTTACTAAAATATCGAAAAGCTTCATAGAAAGGTAAATATTCGAATGTACGTCGTATTGATACCCGTTCGTGGCAACGCGCTGATGATCTAGTGATACTAGCCAATAATGAACGGGAATTACAAAATAAGAGAAACGTCGTACAATTAACTGAAAAAAAACGGAATGAAGATAAATATAAAAAATTGGTCTAAGGTTATTTAGGCAACAATTTCTTATCCTCTAAAGAACAAGTACTTACTTGTCCAACTTTAAAAAAAATGATAAAATTTGATTTTGCTTATTTTTTTCTGATATATTAGGTTTATTATAGACATACTTCATAATATTTATAAAAAATCAAAGCCAACTTGATGACTTTTTCAATTTAACACCCATTATCTTTATTTTAACTTATAAAGCTTATCATGAAAATAATAAAATAAACAAAATCAAATTTTAACAATGTAATTTAATATGTGTAGTAAACTGAAGCTACAGGAGTATGCTATTCGTATGTTTCAAATGAATTTTTCAGTTACGAAATTTTGTTATGACATCATCAGTATTCTAGTAAGGACACGTCGTATATGAATTTAGATAGGTGGAGTGCAATACTAACAATAACAATAACAGCAATACATTCCCAAATTTTCTGGAAAATCAATAAAATAAATTATCTCTGTCATTATTTCTTTTCGACTTATTTTGTATACGCAATTCTAAATAAGATGTCACTCACAACAGATGTACAAATCTGCTGTCGAGGACTCGATTTTGCATTGATACAAATGCATTATTCCAAGAAACTATAAATCCAGAACAGACTAATGAAAGAAAAATCCATTAAAGTATAACCAGCTAAACACTAGAGAAGATGTTCAAAATTCCTGCCTTGTGCATATAAGTAAGTAAGCTCGTAATGTTTCTAAATTTTGATAATTTTTTGTAAAAGTAAGCTAAGTCTAGTTTTATGAGCAAATAGTAGCCCCGCCCACCCACCCCTTCATCATTCCAGTGACTAGTTTTAATATTGTTTAGTTATATCTTAGTAAATTTTAGCCCCGTCCACCCGCCCTCTATTTTCTGAGAAGGTATATCATTTGTCGCAATCAGTCTTATCTTAGCGAATACTAGCACCACCCACCCACCCTTTAATTGTTTAAAGAGTATGCCATTTACCAAAATCGGTCTTACGTTAACAAGTGCTAGCCCCAATCAGTCTTATCTTAGCAAGTACTAGCTAAGGTAAAACTGATTTTGGCAAATGACATACCCCTAAGAAAAGAGAGGGTGGGTGGGCGGGGCTAGTATCTGATAAGATAAGACTGATTTTGGCAAATGAGATACCCTTTAAGAGAAGAGAGGGTGGGTGGGCGGGGCTAGTAGCTGCTAAGATAAAACTGATTTTGGCAAATGACATACTCTCCAAGAAAAGATAGGGTGGGTGGGCGAGGGTAGTACCTGTTAAAAAAAGACAAACACCGATTTTGGCAAATGACGTACTTTCTAAGAAAATAGGGGGTTGCTGGACTTAAATGACATATCCTAAGACATTTATTAAATTATTATAAGAAAAGACACTAGAGGCTCCAAAGGACTTTCAAATACTTTTCAAACAAGAATACCTAGAACCTCAAGATTGTTTTAAAATTAAAAAAAAAACGGGACTCAAAAGAGGTCAGCTCAGAATTTTCCAAAATGGAACACCAAAGTCCTTGAAAATTCTTTTAAACAATTTATAAAAAAAATTTCCATTGGTTCCCAAAATAATACACCGTGGGTTTCGTTAGGTTGGCATTATGTATTTAAAGACAAGATTTACTACGAAAAACATTCCAAAATAAAAACTATAATAACAACAAACAAGTTCAACGCAAATTCATGAAGCACAAGTATAGGAGTATGTTTTTTTTTTCTTTAATTATAAACTCCTTTTTGACTTTAGCCATGTCTATTAATATAAACACAGTGGATTGTGTTCGGACAAGTAATATATTTCAAATAATCCACATTTTAAAACAATTATTTCCAATTTGATAATTTCAATTTCAAAAGAAATTCTGTATCTTGAAACTAAATGAAAAATGAAAAAGTATACTTAAAGAGTCCTGAATTTTAATTTACGTTAAATATTAGATAAGTCGTTGGAAATTTCAATGTTTTATTATTCATTAAAGCTCTCGTATCTTTGTAAAAAATTAGGACATTGGAGATAAATATTCAAAATTGTTGTTTTAATGTATAAATTCATAATAATCGAGGTAGTTATTAATAAATATTTTCAAAAGTTAGAAGAAGTCCTCGATATCTCATTAATTATGAGAGATAAAAAAAGTTAAAGATCTAAGTTGTACTAGGGACTATACCCTAAAATTATTTTTAACTATACAGAGTGTTCTAATGGCCTTTTTAGTTAGCTTAGTTTTTTTAATGAAACACACTATATATCTTTACAGATTTTGATTGTCTCTTTCTTAGCCTTTACAACCACAGTTTACTTTTGAAATTTCGATGCGACGTTGCCACGTTAATCCAATTTTCTTGAAATTTTTGGCAATGGAAGGGTTCACAAAAAAATTGAAAAGTTTCTATGATAAAATGGGTTACGACTTTTGTTGCTCTAAGGACTGGTCACAATTTTGTCTTTCTCTTAACATTCTATATCGAGTTCCAAATTGGGAAGCAATTTCAGTAGCATTATTTTTTAAGATGAAAATGAGTTCTTCTAATACTCGTCCAAAAACCGGTTTTACTAAATTTTCTAGTGCTAAACCTTCCATATATAGAAGCGTCCGCGTCTTTCCCTAATTTAGACGAATAATACTGTGATGATATTAAATCAAAGTTGAAATAGGATTACAGATATTCTTCCATGAAACAAGGGATCCATATCCACTGCTAATAACAAAAAGTGTGGCTCTTATCTCATTCTGCATAAGCGTTCGCTAACGACCACCCGAAAAAATCATTTTGAATATTCATCTCGTGGAATCTTATTTAGCCAAGCAGTGCTAAAATCGAAGCTCATCCCTTAACCACGTGCCCGAATTGGAGTGTTTTTTACACTAACCCCTTGCGTACAATTTGCACCCCACGACGAGTTGCCGACTGTCAGGCTGTGGCAGGCAAAGGAATTATGAGTGTTTTTGCAACGTCCAAGCTCTGGTTTTACTGTAATTTTATTCGCGGTTTTATTTAGAATGTCCGCTTTGGAGGACAGTTCTCGCCCCAACCGGTAACACAATTATCTGCTGAATTAATTATTCGCCACCTCCACTGTTTTAATTTCACTTACCTTTGTACACAATGGTTAACTGTGAAAATTTTGTTCGCGCTATTGGAATATTCTACTTGCTTTTAATACTGGAAGTTCCGCATGCAAATCGTGTTTCCAAATGTTAAATTTTAATTAATCGCACGGGTTTCGTGTGCTCCTCTTTTGCCAGCTTTTTCATTAAAAAAACAGTCGTTGCGAATTTTGATTGTGAATACTTACAATGTTCATTTGCTGGTCCTGGATCTCTTTGTAGACTTCGACGATTTTCATCAAAGCGGCACCTGGAACAAAGTTACTGTGAATGCTCGATTCAAGGCAAATCGCAAATTTCGTACACATTAGGTTTTTTCTTGTGGAAAAACCAGCCGCGATTTTCTGATCACAAGTATTGACTTTTTGTGTTATACACACTCAGTGAAATATTGTAGAGAATTCTCAACTTCTAATCGTCTAGTAAAAAGTAAATATGGTACAAATATGGCTTACAAAAGACTGTTATTCGGACATAGATTGATTTTCAGCTAATGTCCCGGAAACTTGAACCTGGCACACATCTGCCATACAATTTTTTCAGAGTCTATTGATGCCAGTGGCAAAAGGATGTTTTTGTTCTGAAAATTAGCCTTCAATTCGGGATAATAAATTGCCCCGGAACCTGTACAAACACAGGAAGATGAAATTGATGCAAATTTAGGATTTGTTTTCATTGATGGTCCGAGAATCAATCTTGCGAGTAGCGTGATAGATAACCTGGGAAATTTGCAATCTGCTAATAATGAGGGCGAATCAAGAAATTATAAGCAGTAATCGTCTACCCACGTGAACCGTAATAACAGTCCATCCCATTGGATTTTCATTAATCACAACCGCCCCACATTAACTGCAGCACGCTATTTTCATTACAATTTCCAATTCAATTAATGACATCAGCCGTTACTCTAATTTTCTGTTTACATCAGAGATCACTAACGCAATAACACGGATTTAACCCTACCGAGAGACTGCCCGATTTCTCCTGGCGCTGCGTGAACGAGACTCGTAAGCCACAAATAAGCGATATTCAAATTAAACGATTTGGATTGTCACATAACTAAAAATTTGTTACCGGAAATTTAAATTTAGATAAGTTTTAAATTGTTTATCTAGGTCGTTATCTAAGACAAATTTCTGGTGTTGCTTACATTATTTACACAATTTTGAGCATGCTTTTCTGGGGTTAAAATCTAACCAAACTACAAAGAAAAGGTCGAAGATTATTTCGACAGAACTTCCCTCGCTCCTGAAGTTTTAATTTTTCAATTTTTCATTTCTTCAAATTTTTATAATATGCAACTTTTCGAGTTTTCATCAGTTTAGTTTCCGCTGAGGAAATAAAAGCAAAAAAATTATACAGTACCAAAAAATTTCGTAATAATCACTCTAGTAATTTCGGAGACTATAAGACGCCAACAAACAAATGACAGATGATAGACAGGCATATGGAAACGAGGAATCGACAGACTTTCATGTTTGGAAATAAAAGGGAATACATTACTTGTAAAAATCAGATGCGTAGAAATTCAACGTTGATAACATTTGATAGCTGACGTTGGTAGACTATCTGATGTGTGTCTAGCTCCTGTTATTTATTTATTAATTATTAACATTTTCCACCGGTGTTGTGTGTATTTTTGTGCTAAAAACTGTCCTCTTAACAATGTTACCGAAACAGATTCTTACCGTACATAAAATATTTACATTTTTACATCAAACACAACAGACAATATTTGCATATGGGAGACGGAAGCATCATAAATCCGGGGATTTTTTCGAATCCCTGCGGTATTTCACAGAGAGCCACTATACATGTGCGGCATAGCTATTATAGCTTAAACCTGCATATCCACTTCAAACCGTTCCTTTTTTTCCCTTTCCCGTATTAAAATTTAATTTGGGGCTTAAAAGTGGCGTTTCCGCGATAACACCGGTTTTGTAATATGGTTTGCATCGGCACAATGCAGTGCTGCGGTCAGGTAAACCGAAGATCCACCACGAACATGCAGATAAGATTTTACTACGGCATTCTCTGTGGTGCACGTGTCGTTTTCCTCGTGAGTTGCATAGCAACAGGAAGCCCTAACGGGTCTCTCTTTTACAGTTATCCCGCATCGCCACCTGGATAATTTTATTCTGGGTCCTGGAACTTATCAAATAAGCCGGGATGAGATTAAAGTTATATTTTTCGGATAATTTTGATGAATGTTTTCGTCCGCCAAGAATACAAAAGTTTCGTTGAGCGGAAATAAAATTTGATGTCACGTCGGCGTGAAGATTTCGCGCTGGGGTGGAAAGAAAATTAAAAACTGGCTTTATAGGGATGGAGCAGAAACCGCGTATTTACATAATGCAGACACAGTGGTAGTCGTTAGCGAATAAAGAGAATATCAGATTTAAGTTTACAAGTTTTTTGAAAATAGTGTTGTTGTTTGGTTGTGTTAAAGTGAACATGTTTCCATTTTTTTTTTGTAATTGTAGTATCATTATTGGACAATTACATTCTGCAGTACATTATAGACACAAAGAAAAGAAATGCCACCCCATTTTCCAAATAAAAAATCGTACTTTACATTATTTAAAAAAATTACAAATATTTGTCTTTATCAAGAAATCGAGAAACGTGTAAGTGTTCACAATGGTTTTTGTGTTTCATTTATCTGAGGATCTTATACAACTTTCAGTTCTAGTTCTCAGTGTACTACTACTAAAAACACTGTGTCAATTTTTTGAAATTTGCACTTATTATTCACTATAGACTGTTGTATGTTGGAATAAACAAAATATTATTATTATCATCATCATTATTATTAAGTTTTCCAAACTTCTTATTTTACACAGTAATTGATTTTGATACTACAAATAATTGTCTGTTGTCTGTCTACTTGTCGTTAGACTGTTGGGGATTTTATTAGACTGATAACATCAAAACTATTGAACCTGTTGTTATGAAAATATTATGCAGATTTTAAAACGTTGACCAAAATTTGTCTAATGATCCCCACCAACTTTATAATGCGTTACTTCAAATTTTTTACTAATAAACACCACTTAAATTTTATAAAATAACATACTGTTGTAGTGTTGTAGTTTATGAATCCGTCTTGAGTTTTTTTCTCTAGGCATTCAGATTTTACATAACGGTTAGCGTGTCCTGTTCGTAACTCGAAATGTGTGGGTTCGATTACCTTATGTGTATTTTTTCTCTTACACTGTGATTGCTATCACCTATATTTTTTAACTTACCGGGGTTATGGTAAAAAAATAAAATTTCCCAAAATATTTTTTTTAATTTTCTGAAGAAGCGGGATTTGTTGGATTGTACATCCGGGACGAAGGAATTCTTTTTTAGATAATCTTGGACCAATTTTGTTTATTAGTCCTTATGCATCGATTTTTGGAAATAAATTCAGAATTTAACTTAAAATTTATTTTACGATTTAACATAGAAACATAACATAGAAAAAAAATCGATTTGAAAAAGTTATTGTGAACATGGTAAACCGTCATCGCAATTCATCTGTTGAACCGTTCCAAATTTGAAAACATCTTTTCAAAATTGTACTTTTGAATTTTAATTTATTTTATTTATTTTGTATTTTACTCAAGTTTTAACGTTGAAATTTCGAAAATACAGAAATCATAAATATTAACTACCAAAACTAAAGACTAAGCAAAAAGGAATATAAACACTCAATTTTGACCGCTTACTTGACCTAATTATTACCTAATAATAAACAATTTTTTTTCCTAAATAAAGACAACAATTAAAATAGTTATGTTAAAATTTTACTAGTTAACTTTGAAACTACAAAACCGATTACTCTGGAAGTTTGTGTACGTTTTAAAGTTATCGGGACCATGATAAACCACTAATCAGAATAATACATCCCTTCCAAGAGTTTGATGACGTCAACTTTTGCCACGAAAATTTTGCTTCACATTTATGGTGACATGGTCTTTTTACTTCCCGAGCGTAATACTGTAATCTAGTCTATCGGACGACTGGTTATGTTCGGTTTTCTCGACGTTTCATGACACCTAGACAACGAAAAAATAGGTCTCCCCTTTTCGTCTATCCGTCGTCTATCTGTTGTTTGTTTGCCGTCTCTCTATCGTCTTTCTATCGTTCGTCTGTCGTCTGTCTGTCTATCGCCTGTGACGATTTTTATTAGATAGATAATCTCCAAAATTACTTTACCAATTGTCATCAAATTTTAGATGTATTTTAGAAGTATTGTGAAGCGCAAACTAGAAACATCTCAGCAATAATTTGACGACGTATTAGTAAAAGACGTACGCTCCTGCACAACTTGTGGTTTAACAGTCTACCCTGATTTTGTTTATTATTAATATATTTTATTATTGTTTAATCCATATTGTTCTTTAGACACTTACACAGTCTTAGTTTAGCACTCGCCCGTTTAACAGACGAGAGGTCCGGGGATCAATGCCCTTTTTTTCCTAAAATTTGGCAATACAGTACTGTTATTATTACTATTACACTATACCTATTCAAATTGATATCAGAATCCTCGGTACTATTTTGATTACGTCATAACGAAATTTTGTTATGGAAAACTCATTTGAAATATACGCATAACATGCTTCTTTACCTGTACTTTAACTTTTAAACTAATAAAATTTACTTTTGGAAATTGTAGATTTTTTTTAATATCTAGTTTGCGAAAAACTTCAGAAATACAGTACTGTAGAGGTCGTGAGATTGCGAGTCCCATGTTGCGTCAATTCTTATAGGGCTGCATAAACAATTTATTGTTATATGTATATGTAAAAGTCAAATATAGTGATTGATGCCAACTTTGCGTGGCGGGGATAAGTGCGTCGCTCGTTACAGTCTTCTCGTCACGGGTGACGTGGAATTGCGGTTGTCTGTGTGATCCGCTCGTCGTAGAAGGAATTGCATGACTCGCCGTAATTGCGGCAGCGATCCGTTGTGGTCGCCTGCCTTTGTGCCGGAGCGCCCCGTACTAAACCTATTTACGCTACAGTACTATTTTTCATTTTACTACAGAGGTATTGTCACAACAATGTAAATTTTGCAAGATGAATTTTTTTTGTACTGTTTTAGGGGTAAGAGAAGCTTTGTCTAACTTCTAATGAATTTTAATACTTGTATTTTTCTAATAAAAATCAAAAGCTTTACCGCACTATTATTATCATTATTAGTATTTTAAATTGCTTAGTATTAACGACGAACGTTACTGAGTTCTATAATTTTTATGTT